GCCTCCTCATATCATAGCTCTTTGTTTTGTCCTATTGATTGATGGCTTTAAAGTCAGTAGCCTAGAACACTGGTTCACAACCTGGGGTTCCTGACCCCAGGAAATGGCTGCCAAAGCTTTATGGGGAGGTCGCAAGGCCTTCTTGATTATAAGGGGTGTAAGAAAACTTTTTAAAAAGATGTACAATAAGCCTGTATCGCAACATATCATTCATGTCTGTAAAGAAGACTGAATTATATTGTTATTTTTAGAGTTAAGATCATCATCAAAGTTATAAACTTTAAAAATCTCACAAGATAACAGCACAGAGGAGACCTGAACACAAGCTATTCACAGAGCCTTCATTCACTGCTAAACAGCCTCGTCCTGCGTTAGAAAAGTATAAGTATGTGGTTAGAACAACCAAGGACCTAACAGAACAATGGCCAAGCATCAGGGAGAAGAATAGGCTGAATTTGTCCAAAACTGAAACCTATTGAGTATGTATGATTGTTAAATATGTAAAAATACATCATGCAGATATTGAATTGTATAAGAAGTTTTTAAAATATCAGGAAACTCATCTCTGATACATTATTCACAGAAAAAAAGCACTCATTTTACACAGTCTTCCTGCAGTTAGTGCGATCACTGAGTTAATTGTACAGTTTATCAGCTGTTCTGTACTATTATTGTTATGCAATGAATATAACATGAAATATCCATAAAATATGTCACTTAGGGATCCTCAGTTTTCTCAATATTCAAAAAAGGGGTCCCTTAAGGAAAAAGGTTGGGTTAGAAGACCATCACTTACAACACAAATGCTACATATCATTATGTAACATGTGTCATAGTACATTGCATTAATTTAGCTCCCATTTATTCTTATTATGAAGAAATTGTTCCACCCTTTGCTCTGCTTTTATATCCACTCCTGTATGTGTCAGTATTAAAGAGAGGATTGGAGGAAATTTAGACTGTCAGCCTCACCTGGTGGAGCAGACTGAACATTGCAGGAGTTACAGTAAAACATGCTTTACATATGGATAAAAGTGAGCAGTGAATCATTACAACACCACTCAACAGAACAACACCTAAAGTGCATTTAACAATGTGAAGTGGTTGATATCATCTTTGAAACCTGACATGCTGCGTGCACTCAGACTAATACCTGAATAAAATAGGAATGCAGTAGGATATAAATCTGTAAAAGCATTGTCACAGAATGTTGCTTGTTGTTGAGGCATTCCTTCTGTGGTTAATGCAGTACAGCTTTGGCATAAATATGCTGTATAATTCACAAGTATAAAGGTCGACTGTAATTTGATCCTCTTGGTGCTGGGACAAAGTTACAATGTACAAACACTGGATTGCTTTGTTAGGCTGTGTAATGTGAATGACGTAGGCAGTTCGTGACGGAAATGAAAGATAAACTAGACTTTGATTTATTGTGGAGTTAAAGCCTTCTTTAAACTGCATCATCTGAGGCTGTGAGGACAGACTTACTGAATCGGACTGCGGTGGAAATAACCTTTTTTTAACAGAGGAAACCTCCCACCATCTGAGCAATATGGCTGTCAGTACTTGTGAGTGGTGAGTAGCTTTTTGATTTATCACAGACCAACTATGGTCATTTCTTTGCTTTGAGTCCTGAGGTTGAGTTATCACACCACTAAATGCCCCAAACTGCTAAACAATAGATAAACTAACAGCCAATAAGAGCCTTTAACAGTGTGTGTGTGTGTGTGTCAACACTGTAAAAGGCAAGAAATAAGCCACTCTCGTAATCATTAACACTCTACTAAGAATCGTCTTGGATACTGGCTAATGTGTGATACAGTGATGAATTTGAATCTTATGCACAATAGGTAGATTTACCACAGTAGCCTGTTTGGTAATTGTGACGTGGCATTGACTGAGTTCTCTCTAGGTTTATCAAATACACTTTTTAGGATTGAAAGTTTATTATCACAAACACAATGAATCACAGAGACTCAGTCAATGTGAATAACCTTGTTGGTCTTTATTAACCAAAATAGTGATATGAGATTGTGTTAATATGCAAAAAAAAGTAACATTTACAGATAAAAAAGAACATGTATCTGCATCTATAACAAAACTGGATGTATTGCATTAATTCAAATGCTACATAAAAAGATAGTAGTGTCATAAGGGTTATCTCACCTGGGAAGATTCTAATCTTTTATCAGAAAGGCAGCATTACTTACTGAGGACGTGTGGTTATAAAGCATTTTCCTGATAAGAACAATCTAACAAAGAGGTGCTACTCATTGCATCATGAGAGGCACAGGATTGATTATTACTGGAGCTTGACCTGAAGAATTAGAAGTCAAGATGTCTTGGCCTCTACTTTAATTTTACCATTCCTTTTTAGAAAGTAATTGCACTGTGACTTGTCTGGACACAGTTCTCAACATGGAGGTGGCAGTGGCTAGTAGCTAACAGTGCTAACTCCATAAACAGTGCTGACAGAGCTAACTGTGTTAAGTGGGTGGGAGCCAGTGGGTGCTTCACTTTCCTGATGTTGCCGTCCTGATATCAGCTGTAGGCTAAATGCTGTATGAGCACAGTGAAGTGGCGGTGATGAGCTATAGCCAGCGGGATACACACATGCACGTGTGGCTGGACCGGCTTACCACAACGAACCACAGAGAAGCTTGGATTACGTAGCATGACTTCATTCCCTGCTCAGGACGCCATGACTCCACTATATCTTTACATAGCAAAGAAATTCTGCCACTAAATTGAGAAAAAGCGCTAAAAAAGGGCATCAAACATATTTCTATTATCTATGTTCATCATATTTGTAAGTATTAGACATGTATACATGCACATGTATGATTTATGAATCAAGTTTTCTACATAACTTCACTTTTTTTTTTTATTGAATAGTTTTCTCCGAACCCATCAGAGGGACTCATGCAGAGTCATAAAGGCACAGTTGAAAAGAGCCAGAGGAGTTAATTTAGTGCCAGGCAACAGCTCATCATTTATATAAAGCTCAGCAGCTATCATGACTCATGCATTTTTCCTTTTACAGCCTTCTTGAATGGCACAAGGATAAGTGGATGCAATCAAACAATTTTATTGTTTGTGTACCAGACAGTGCTGAGAGGGTCACTTTGGTAATAGTTTACAGATCACTAGTTACCCTGTGAAAAATGTAATAAGTAATGTAGCTATTTTAATTACTTCAGTAGAGCGGCCACAGGCTGGATTCGAACCCGGGCCGCTGCGGCAACAGCCTTGTACATGGGGCACCTGCTCTACCACTAGGCCACCGACACCCCTTCTACAAATGTTTTGAACTGGGAAATAACATTGAAAAATCCTAAAAATATAAAATATAATGCAGAAGTGTTGCACTCAAATTTGTTAATCAGGCTTTGCTGCCCCCTGTTGTCTGAAAATATGCCAAAAGAATGAAGTCCTGCTCGACCAAAAGATGCTAAGCAACAAAATATATGTTACAGTACAAGGTTTTTGCCGAAAAAAATATATCCCAATGTAACCCCTCTGTGATCTCCAACATTTTGATCAGTAACTTTAATTTAACCTCCTGCGACCCTGCGTCCTCATCTGCGGACATTATGTTCTAGGTTTGCTGCACCTTATACTTCATTCTGCTCAACTTAGACCTGTTGTTCTCGCTCATGGACACCTTTTTGTGTATCAAGTGGTAGCAAAAACACAATAGAGTAATACATGTAAAAACAAGACAGCAGCCATCTCTGACACAAAAGTGGAAAAGGTGCAAAACCTGATCAAATTTTATGTTTAAAACTTGTTTATTTATGCTATATAACATTTGTAGTTTGATATGGCACACAAATGTGACCAATTTTGGCAATAGTAACAAGCTCTGATGCTGTTAATTAGGAAGTACTCATCTGAGGATAGTGGGACTTAATTATTATATTATCACAGGTTTTCACACAGGCCAATTAGATGTGACAGACTGTTCCTACAGACAAAAGGACATTCCTGGCATGGAATATAGAGCGAGGAAAATGAACAAATCACAAGGCTTTTAGATACACTGCAATTTTGCTTTTGCACAGCCACTCAGGCATTGAAATGGACAGTTTTGAACAAATGTTGCACTGTTTCCTATTTTGTTTTTGCACAGTGCTCAGCCATTTACATAAGATGTTTTATACTTAATCATACACTACATGACTATTAGGAATAAACCCATCAGACATGTGGACATCATTTCTTTCCAAAACTACTTACTGCTCAAAGACGATGCTTAGTTTTTAAACTTATCAGGTCCTACTAATCCTAGATAGCTTGGAGAAATTTAAAATGCATACCAAACAAAAGCTCAGGTCTCAAGAGGTTAACATTGGTTCCCAGTTTCTCAATTGTAATGGATTACAGTTACAATTATCTTGTAATTTAATTGCATACCTTCATTACTTGTTACTAGTTCCTCCTCAACACTGGTGCCAGGCATCTAAATCCTTTCTTACTGACTTTGTGTCATGTATCTGCCACACATGCACTAGCCCCTGCATGTGTGTGTATAAGCTGTTGTATACTGTACACACACACATGCACAAGTTAATCACTAGTCTCTCCACTGCATTAACCCCACCTGTCCCACTTAAAACTGTATTAGACCCTCCCCTGGATACAACACTGACAGTTAATGTTAGAGAGCTGATCATTCATGCTGAAGTCTGCAGTGCAACACTGTGTACAAGTTATTTAACCCGGCCTGGGTGCATGAGGGGCCTTAAATGTCTTGTATCACACTCACAACATAAACATACTGTAAACTGTGCAAACTGTGCAAAGTACAATCCACAGTCTTTAACGTGAGAGGTCAAAAACCAAAACACGTGCCGAGCTGGAGGCCAGTCTATGCAGGCTACTTAGGAGCTGTGGAATGAGATTTGTGCGACTTTAAAGTGGATCAGTGTTTTGTAATGAATGTTTTTTTTTCCTCCTCCTCGTCGGTGCCTGCCTATTATTAGCTCCGGAGGCCTTACAGTAAGTGGAGGTGGTTCCATGACGGTCAGGGCTGCAGCTCTGCATCGCACCGACAGGCTTCAGATCAGCCTTCGTATTTTTGGCAATGCAATCGGACTTATCGCACTGATCCAGCCAGGGGACGTTTCCTGAAACATCTGCGGTCGGCCGCCCGTTTTCAAGCCTCGTTCACCTTGCCTCGAAGATGAAGTTAAATACGAGCTGCCGTCAGGTGCAAGCCGCATCCGATGGAGCCCTGCTTTTTATCTCGTTCATCGACCAACCCGATGCAGCAGCACTTCCTCATGTTGCGGTAAGACAGACGACACATACATCCTGCAGAGGAGTCAATGTTTTTTCTTTCCTTGTCGCTGTTTTTGTGCGCTGAGCGTGCAGCCAGATAAACAGGCTCAAGAGTCAGTGACGGGGTGTTACATAAGGTGTAATGCAGCAGAGCCTCATGACTAGTGTCTCGGTGGTGGTGGTGGGACTGTTCGGTCCTTCTGGTAGGATATGCACAATTTGATCATGTTTGCTGTGGATGATGAGGAAGGGCTGCAAGCTTATTTAATGGTGATTTATGTAGGATAGTCTGGAGGCGCTGTGTGGGTTATAAATGTATAGTGTCTGACCATATGAAAATGATGAATTAATTCGGGAGTTGCGCAGTGGAGACTGTAACCGAAAAGGGCATATGAATGAGCAATATTAGAGGCGGTGTATCTCTGTAGTGTCATACAGGCCCAGCCTAAGGTCAGACTGTCAGATGATTTGATATATATGCCTAAATGGAGGTTAGACCTAGCCTATAGGGATGCAGATTGTGCAGTCAATGAAAGGCTGGTTTTATGAATGGCTGCAAACGTCAAATGACCGTCAGAAAAAATCATAGTAACCCGTAATAGTAATCTCTAGGGCATTGTAGACAAGTCTGAAACCCTGCTTTAAGAAATAAGCAATGCTTTCCTATTGTCATCCTAAAAGAATCTGGTTTTAGTGTAGGTGACCAAAAGTGAGGGGAGGGGGCCAGTTATTTCTGCACAGCAGGTGCAGGAACACCAGGAGCATCTGACCTCATTCATAAGAAGTTAGCACCACCTGACTCTTCTGATCAGAGGTGGTCATTCAGAGAGCAGTATCTCATTCAAGGAGGAGGATGCTGGACAAAAATCAGATAGTGGTCTGGTATTTAAGCATAGATCTGGTCAATGTTATGACATTGCTTGGACATTACAGTGAACAGAGTTTGATGTCCTGCCTGCTGTGGTGGCTCAAGTTACAACTAAAATGAGCTGATCACAGCAGTTGTGACATTTATATGGTGCTGTTTTTCCAAAATAAGAAAAAGGAAACATCATCAGTGCAATAGATGGAAGATTGTAGACTGTGACACACGCAGACAAAGGCTACAGTTCCCTTGGAAACCAGTCCAGCTACCTAAATGATCAGCCACCATTTTCAAGACTATGAAATAGTCTCTTTACCTATTTCCTCCATTTCATTTAATGAAGGTGTGTTTGTGGATGGCAGATTTCTAGTAGTCGCTGTTATGAATTAGGCCAGTGATGATTGAAGATAAGGTTCTTGAGATGTTTTAGGCTTGCAGATTGTTAAAGGGATTACAGAAATATCTGCAAAGGAACCCTTTTCTTACCCAGAAAATGAAGACTAAACAGATTTTGAAATGGCTTTCTGTTTTGAAACTGAATATGCTTTACAATTAAATAAAATGTTGAAAATTGGCACAGTACTTTTGCAGTGTTGCAAACTCTATAGATCCAAAAAAAAAAATCTCCCCCGTTTTGTTTGCTTGGCCCTTTAAATTTTTTTCTACATCAGGAGCAAGGACAGGGAACTTGTGAATGGGCACAGGCAAGTCACGAGACCGTCCATTGATAGCTCTGCAGGCAGAACGAGCAGTGCAGATGAGGAGTAGTCACAGTGTCTAATATCCGTATTGATCCATGTTCCTGTACCGTTCGGGACAATAGTTTAGGATTTCAAGTGCTGATGCAGCTCTCTGTGCTTCTTTGTGTTTTGACAGGTCCCAGCTGACAGATTCTGATATGGACTATGAGAGGCCAAACGTTGAAACTATCAAGTGTGTGGTGGTGGGAGACAATGCAGTCGGAAAGACCCGCCTTATCTGTGCTCGGGCCTGTAATGCCACACTGACTCAGTACCAGTTACTCGCTACACATGTGCCCACAGTCTGGGCAATTGACCAGTACAGAGTGTGCCAGGAGGTGAGCATGCAAGCTTGTGACTTTTTAAGATTACATGCTTATTTTTAAAATGTGAAAAGATGTATTCAAGGATTTAAATCTCTGGTCATTGAAGTAAACTAAACCTATTCACAAATATAACATTAAATATGGCTAAAATGCACATTTAGCTGTACACATTCACACTAGTGACTCACAAAAATGAAATATCCCTGGATGTGTCATCTCTTATTAGGTCTTAGAGCGCTCCAGAGATGTGGTGGATGATGTCAGTGTGTCCCTTCGCCTCTGGGATACTTTCGGAGACCATCATAAGGACCGGCGTTTTGCATATGGCAGGTGAGTTATTATAAAATTCAGTGTTAGTCTACCACTATGTGCCCTGCCGTTTCCTGAGTTTAGTGAATTTGTCCTGCATCTTTCCCTCAGGTCTGATGTGGTGGTACTGTGCTTCTCAATCGCCAACCCCAACTCTCTATATCATGTGAAAACCATGTGGTACCCTGAGATCAAGCACTTCTGTCCCCGTGCTCCTGTCATTTTGGTGGGCTGTCAACTGGACCTGCGCTATGCAGACCTGGAAGCGGTGAACAGGGCACGGAGGCCTTTAGCTAGGTAGAGGGACTCACGTTTGAACGAGATTCAAATAGGTTGTTTGAGATTTACTCCTCTTGTGCCAGAACTGCCTTTGATGTATTTTCTTGTTTTTCAGACCCATTAAATCCAACGAGATTCTTCCTCCAGAGAGAGGTCGGGAGGTGGCCAAAGAGTTGGGAGTGCCATATTATGAAACCAGTGTTGTTGCTCAATTTGGAGTCAAGGACGTCTTTGATAATGCTATCCGAGCTGCGCTCATCTCACGCCGACACCTGCAGTTTTGGAAATCTCACCTCAGAAATGTTCAGCGGCCTCTCCTTCAGGCGCCCTTCCTGCCACCGAAACCTCCCCCACCTATAATCACTGTGCCTCCTCCCCCAACCACCACAGAGGAGCATCCAGTCGGTCTTCTGGAGGACCCACACTGTGCTGATGTCATCCTGGTCCTGCAGGAGCGACAGAAGATCTTTGCACACAAGATATACTTGGCGACATCCTCTTCAAAGTTCTATGACCTCTTTATTATGGACACGCAAAATGAGGAGACTGAAAGGCCCTCTCGTGGTCCTCTCTCTGGCCGAGAGCTGCTGATGCGTGCTGCTAGCTTTGATGTTTGCGAAAGCAGCGACGATGGAGACAGGGCCAACCTGAGGGCATGCACTAGTGATGGGACTTTGAAAGACTCTGAGGGGGCCCGACGGGGCAGACTGCTCTCCTCGTGGAGCCGAGCCTTCGTCAGCATCCAGGAGGAGCTGGTGGATGACCCTGTCACATACAGCCCCAGGCCCATGACTGTAGTGCACATGGACCAGTCCATGCAGCTCGGTCCTTTCCGAGCAGTGCTTCGCTACCTGTACACTGGTCAGCTAGATGAGAATGAGAAAGAGCTAATGCACATTGCACACATCGCTGAGCTGTTGGAGGTCTTTGACCTGCGGATGATGGTGGCAAACATACTTAACAATGAAGCCTTCATGAACCAAGAAATCACCAAAGCCTTCCATGTACGGCGCACAAACAGAGTCAAAGAGTGCTTGGCCAAAGGCACCTTTTCTGGTGAGTGGAAATGATTCATTTGTTCGTGTGTTCTGCTCTAAATGGAGTGGATGCAGCTGAAAGTGAGGTGTTCTTTGTGTCTCATCTCTGTATTACAGATGTAGTATTCAAGCTAGATGATGGGACCATCATGGCCCACAAGCCTTTACTCATCTCTAGTTGTGATTGGATGGCAGCTATGTTTGGCGGGCCTTTTGTGGAGAGCTGCACTAAAGAGGTAAGTCAACTTACATGACTTGTTTATTGGGCTGTGAAATTAGACCAACAGAGCTCAAGTACAGACCAAAGTTGAACTGCCTTGCCATGCTTCGAAGCTTCAATAGTTGCTGTGATAATCGATGTCAAAATAAGAATTTGATTTTTTTATAAGTATATATGCATTACCACAGATTGCATAAATTAAGAAATAGCTACACAACATTATTAATTATGCATCAACGCTTATTAGTTTTTTTTTATTACTTTTTAGTTATTCTCAGACAAGGACATTTAAACTTAGTGACAGTTTGTGACTCTGACTTGCTCTCATCTAATGTCAGTCACCAGCAGTCTTGCCAGAACCTCTGAAACTGGGACAGTTTGACCACATGTGACAGGCTTACAGATATGCTAGTGAGTCAAAAATGTCAAGCGTCTGGAATAGTATCAAAATTTGCAAAAATTACCCCTCCAAGTCAAGTGCCAGATCCAAAGGAAACTGGTATGCCACAAACCAAGAGTGAGCTTGGCAAACCACCTGAAAACAATAAGTAACAGTGTAGCCATCTTGCAAATTGGTGTATTGGTGTATTGGCTATTATGGTGTGCTAACAAAGTCACATTATTTCAGGGACATGCACAGACGTCTTGATTTCTCATTTAAACTCCCGCCCCATCAAAGCTTTGATTTATCATGAGTATTTCTTACTGAAGCTTTGATGCCCAAAAACTCGTATTTGGGATAGCCTGAAACCAAAGTCAGTACAGGGTTAACCTCCATGTTGCTGTCATTTCCAGTGGACTTGTTATTGCCAGTGACATCATAGGGTCACATGCTACAGTGACCAATGGTGATTTAAGACTGGCTCCATGGGCAGGGCTTCACAGCTAGGTTTTCAAACAGAGTGTTGTGGGAGGCTGAGTATATTCTGGCAGAACAACAAACGTAAGCTGCCATTTTGTGTGGGCTTAGGTTACACAAAAAAAACACATAAGTCCAATTTAAGTTACACAAATGAACAAATCATCTGTGGAGTCCAGTGATCACAACACAGTCGACTTATAAAGCACTAGCATTTAAAACGTAATCACTCTATAATTACACAAAGCACGCTAGTGCAGCAAAGATCGTTACCTGTACTGAGCCAAGTAGAGCACCAGTGAACTTAGTGGTCTGCGTACAAGGAATAATTTAATTAGAGGATTGCTGGTCTGTTGTAATGCAATTACACTGGCTTCTGTGATCCAAACATACTGTAGTTCTGTGAGCTCTGTTTGTTTTTCCGCCTTAACACAGAATGATGAAAAATAATACATGTGAAAAATACCTCTGCAGGTAGTTTGAGAGTTAGATATTGTCATTTAAAAAAATCAAAAGTCAATTGGCTCTTCAGAGCTTTTTTTAGATGTACTGAACAATTATCAGCTTTGAGACACTTCATGATGTTTTTCTTTTTTTGTGTGGCTATTGTTGCTGCTACAGTTGAAGCAGAGCTGAAAAAGTAAATCACAATTCTGAAAATAACCAGATTTTCTATCATTTTATTTTTATTAAATCATATACAAACAAGAGTGAAAAGAAGATTTCTTCTCCGTTTTCTATTAAATGCAAAACACAGCAAAGTCTTTGAGCCCCCGATTCATGACTGCGTCACATGTTCCTGTTTCTAAGGTGCTGTTTCCCAACACAACTCGCAGCTGTATGAGGGCTGTGCTAGAATATCTCTATACTGGGCGGTTTTGTTCTCGGCCTGACCTGGATGCAATGGAGCTTATTGTTCTTGCCAATCGTCTTTGCCTCCCCCACCTGGTTGCACTTACAGGTACATTTGGTATAGTTATTACCCTGTAAACCACAGGATTGTATTACAGAAAGCCATTGTGATAATGCACACAGTGACCAGCCTTTATGTTTCTTTCAGAGCTCTACACAGTAACAGTATTGACGGAGGCAGCGATGATGGGGGCTGACATTGACGGAGACGTGCTGGTGTACTTGGATATGGCCCAGGTAGAGTTACCTGTCAATCATCAGTAAACAGGGAGGGCACTTAAAGCTCTTTATATAATGCTTAGGCAAATTGTTTTTTTTTTTTTAATGAGGGCATTTCTCAGGGAGAGCTGCTCTGGAGGCTGAAATAATCTTTACACCTCGTAGGTGGAGCCAAAGAAACTCTGTTCTTCAGAGTGCTGGTCAGCTGTTTGGTGTAGTGAATGGCAACAGATCTTTGGAACAGTGGGCACTTTTAGGATACATGGAGCCAGGCTCAGCACTTCAGTTTATCTCAGCTGCATCTTCAGCTGCATTCTTACTTCAGGTCTACCTCTTCAGTGTCATATGCAAGGCTGGATTACCAGTTGGACAAAAATGCACAAGAGCCATGTGTTCATTTGTTTAGTTGCTCTTTTTTTTTTCTTAATATGCACCACTAAAGCAAAAAAAAAAAATCTAATCTTGAAGCATTGTCTTAAAGATGTTTTTTTGTGCTATACTAATGCATGCATGCTAAAATTAGCTGATGAGCAACACAATATGAGGAAACTCACAAAATGTATGTACAGGCAGAGCCAAACCGGAACCCCAAGGTCACCTAAAACGTCCACTGTACTCACTGTTGTCAAATATGAATATAAGTTAATTTTTTTGAATAATGCATTAATGACCTTGGCTCTTTAGTCCTACCTATTTAAAGGGCCACTGTGTAATATTTGGCATGGTTTATTGTCAAATCTGAATCTGAATCTGAATATTCTACCCATTAATATGTTTATATAAGTGTATAATCGCTATAAAATAAAATTCGCTTGGTTTTCGTAGCCTTATAATTATGCTTTTATATATATATATATATATATTTAGCAAGGGCCTTGCTTTAGAGAGGTCGCCATCTTGTGCCGCCATGTATGTAAGGCAGCCCGAGCGGACAATCCAGCCAGCGAGAGAACGCGTTTCGCGTGTATAAATAAACCAACGAAGACAGCGGAAGGAAGGAAGGAGGAGGAGGAAACAGCAGAGAGTGTTAGTAGTTCGTCGATAGAGAGTAGTGAAAAGTTTTTTTAGTTATAAAGTTTTTGAATGGACCACACTTACCACGCAACAGGAGAGAATGAACCCGAACCGTCATCTGCGAGGAAAAGAAGACGCACCGAATCCCATTCTGTGCAGGTCATTTACCCGACGGGAGGGGTGAGTGAGTGAGCCCTGCAATCTAGAATTTGACCACTGATGTCACTGTTTTCAACCCATTTTACACACTGGCCCTTTACGTGTATTTCAAATAATGAGGTGTCTGTCAAAACCCCACAGCAACCATGCCTTTCATGTACAACAGTTCCCAAATGCAAAATGACAAATAATGATTTTGTATGTTGACAGTTCCACGGCGCCCAACAGCTCACTGGCTGGTGTCTTCATCACATCTGCACCAACTACAACAGTGTCTGCCGCAAGTTTCCCCGAGACATGAAGGCCAAGTCTACAGGTAACACACGTGTGATCTGGTAGCACATGAGTGACCTTTAATGTCCTCTCTAAACAAAGTATGAACAGTACAGTATGCCAACAAACTTGTATGTGTTGTGTGGCCATTTGGATCATAGCAGCATAAACCAGAAGGGCACTTTGAGAATGCCAAAGCTAATAATCCAGTCTTCTGTGATATGCAAATCTGCAAATGCAACCACTGAATATGTCTGATTATATTTCTTTAATATCTCTGGTGGAGTTAAATGCAGTCAATTCACATTTGGATATGAGTAAGAGTATAATTAGTTGTGTGTATGTGTGTGTACACTAGTCTGAGAAAAAAGCTTTGTTATAATTGTGGTTCTCCCATGAAACCACTGTGTCCAAGTGTCCAAGATTACTGTTACACATGAATGTGGATTGTGATATGGAGTCACTGTATTTCTACAATTGCTTATGTTGTGTCACTATTGAACTTTGTTACCATCTGGTGGATTTTAAGATCTATCGTATTTATTCCATCAAAGCCAAATGTCCTATCTTGTTAACAAAAGGGAAAAAGTTTTGTATCAACCCCACGATTTGGATGTCGTTCAAAATTTCATGGGTTTTTTCACCAAGTTTCATGAGAATTGGGCCAGCAGGTTTTTTGTATAATCCTGCAGACAAACAGACAAACAAACCAAACTAAAAACAAGACCCCTCTTAGGCAGAGGTAATTGAAACGTCTTAAATAGGTTTTAGGATAGTTGGCCAAATTAAATTAAATCTGCAAAAGCAGATTCATCTCAGTGGACTTATTTCACCTCAGTAAGAGATACATTTAGTTTTGAGCACTTCAGAATTAAATAATGATTTCATTATATAACCGGGGACTACTAAAATTGATAGTTACTGCCTACACTGTACTGGTTTGATCCATCATCCAAAAATATGCTTGTGTCATCTGGTCCTTAGGTTGCTCTCTTTTCCAAAATAAAAAGATAAATAAATAAAAGTCTAGTGTTGCAAAATCGGTAATTACAGTAGGCCCATACAATAGCCTGTTAAATGGTTTATATGTGACATTCAGAGCACTAATATAGCAGCAAACCACTATTTGCTTTGTGAAGATATAGTGGAGTAATGGTGTCCTGAGCCGAGGATGAAGTCACACTCCCTCTGTGTTGACTGTTGTAATCTGCGTTTCTCCGTAGTTTAGCACTGTTTATGGAGTGAGCTGCTAGCTGGTTCAGGCACCTCCAGGTTTTGAACCTGTCCAGATGCTCTGAATTTTCCATAGAGCCACTTTAAGTTTTTTTTTTTCCTTTATGAATGCTGTCATTTTTGCTGTTACACTGGAACTTAAGGTCGTGTTTATATATAGAAATAAAGTTGTTATAATTCATACACTATATAACAGTGGTTCCCAACTGGTCCACGGGGTCCAGATTTTTCCTTAATCAATATATAAAGGTCCACACAGTTTAATAATTTAACAATGTCATCCTTGCTTTTGGCCACATGGTCAAGCTAGTTTTCTGTTTCTGTCAAGTAGCTGTGCGTTAATCAATAATAATAATAAGAATAATAATACATTTTATTTAAAAAGCACATTTCAAAGTTCTCAAAGTCACTTTACAGAGACAGTTCAAACACATCAAATAGAACAACAATTTTCAGCAAAGACATTGAAGACAAAGAGGAATAATAATGGGAGTGAAAAAACAAGTAAATAAGTAAATGAATAAAAGTAGCTAAACATTAAAAGCAGAACGGAACAGGTGAGTTTTGAGTAGTGATTTGAATGATGGGAGGTCAGTGCAGTCACGGATGTGTTTTGGGAGGGAGTTCCAGAGGGTGGGGGCAGCAACGGAGAAGGCTCTGTCCCCCCAGGTTCTGTGCTTGGTCTTGGGGATGTTGAGAAGGTTGGCATTGGAAGAGCGGAGGCTGCAGGAAGGGGTGTAAGGGTGGAGCAGGTCTGTGAGGTAAGAGGGGGCCTGGTTGTGGAGTGCTTTACAGCTACAGCAGGAAATGGTACTTTAAAATAAAAGCTCTCTGCAAGAAATTCACTGTACTTTAAAATAAAGTGTGGTTTTTACAAACTTGACATGTTTGCGAGTCACTTGCAGTCCACTCAGAAGGGACCCACGACCCACTTTTGGGCTGCGACCCACCAGCTGGGAACCACTGCTACTGTATATAAGATTTCCCGTGTAATGTATTTCTAACAGAATGATTATTGTGAAAATTATGCAAATATCACTAAGATTTGTTTCATCCAATGTATATATGCTGCAATTTGTTGTTGTGACCTTGTTGAAATGCAAAAATCATTGTGGGGAAATTGACTTTTGAAATTCCTACATGGCCTTTTCATATTTCTAAAACAGTTTATTCTGATGCAGAGAACCAAGAGTACTTTGAGAAGCATCGCTGGCCCCCTGTGTGGTACCTGAAAGAGGATGACCACTACCAAAGAGCACGCAAAGAGCGTGACAAGGAGGACTACCTGTACCAGAGACGGCAATGCAAACGCAAGTGGCTCTTCTGGAACCTTCCTTCCTCCCCTAACTCAAACTCTCCCTCCTCTGGCTCATCCGCTGTCATCTGACCGAGTGGTAAGGGCCAGGCCCACTCTGAAGTGCATCAGTGTGGAAGTGGGTCGTAAAAGATACAATAAAAGAGAAGCACTGCTGGCTAGGTACGCCCCAATTATTCAGGCACACAGTCTCTCCTCCTGTTTGTTTGCCTCTGCAGTCAAATGGCACCTCCTCCAGGTCTGCAAGGTCAGCTTAATCTGGCAGTTAAAGTAATGAGTTTTGTTCCTTAGATTTTTAGCTTGGTGTACATGAGACTCAAACCTCAGTGATATGAACCTCACTGACATATGGCACAGTGTAACTGGCGCAAATAACAACTCATAGTGATTGTTATATGTTCCACCACCTGAGTTTTAAAAATAGGACTCTGCTGGCACAGAACTTTCCACCTATGATCATGATTATCATCAGTTAACCTGAACTGATAACCAAGTGCTGCTTATCAGCTGCAACAACCAGCAATTCAACACAGAACTTCTCAGTCTCAGAGATATAACACTTTGCCCTTAAGTGTTTGTACAATCTACCAAACTATGTGTACAGTATGATCTCGTCAACAGGATGTAATGATAGTATGGCCTGCCAGGAATCAATTAGTGCAGTCAGTCACTCGAACCATGCTGATTATGATCGTGTAAGCATAAATGAAAACACTGGCAAGTTCCACTCCTGTTTATTTGTGTACAGTCATTCTAGTTTTGAATGTTTTTGTACGGCTTGCACAGCTAAAAGTGATGTGAGTCTGGACACGCTCAGCATTTACGTATTGTGATCTTGTGATTTGTGGCCTCTTGTCACAAAAGGGCTTTAGTTTACATGAATGCATCCAGTGTCCTGAGACACAAGAGATCCCAAATCAAGGAAAATATCTGTATTTTCTGTAAAATGCCAGCAAAAACAAACCGCTATGATTTCATATGTGTTGCTTGATGAGGCTTGTTAGCACACATGTTTCCTGAGTCCCTCAATTTCACACTGAATGATTCCATCAGCTTGATCACTGGAAGGCAACACGTAATGCATCTCGGAGCCATTAGCAGCATTTCCAGAGCTGAAGCGACCGCATGTTCATCATGTGCACCGTAACTTGCTGATGGTGTGTTTGACGAATCAATCACGGGTGGTGATTTGGCCTTTAGAGATTTATCTTAGTTGTCGATCAGAGGATGCCCCCTGACTGTCTGCAGTTGGCTGTGTTAGACTTGTACATGCAGGAGGCTTCCTCATACCTGGGTGTCATCCATCCTCTTCTACACACCTCAAGCACTTTTTGGACTCTTCTCCGCAGAGACACACACAAGAACCTCCAGTAGCAGCATCCCGGTGAGCGGCACTAAAGACAGAAGTGTCATGACATGCTGCGGCAAATTTAAAAAAAAAAGGAACTGGGGAGGATACAAAACCATGATATTTAAAATGTTTTAAAAAAAAAAAGGTTGTGAAGTGGTCTGGATCAAGTCATCTCTCTTGATTTGTTTTGCACAACTCACAGTATATGTTCAAGATTGTCATACTGTTGTACTTGATTGTAGTATGGACTGCATCTCTAAGCATGGTGCTCAGTGAAGATGGGTAGTATTGTAAATTGTACAAAATATCAGACGAACTGCAAGTAACTTGCATCACTCTAACTTTCTGTTACCTAATATTGTGCACTGCAGGCAGTGAGCAGAATCGTACAGTATTACTGAGTAATACATATACACTGTACTGAATATAGACTTGACTTGCATTTAGTTACTGTGCAGCTACAAACTGTTGTTGAAAATAACTGAATACTCATTGTGCTGACCTCCAGTTACATCTACTATATGCTGTAGTATACATGCAAATTACAGGCAGTTCAAACATACAGTTGACAAATAGTAAAATAGGATTACAGTGCAAAGTAACGTAGACACATGTTTATATAAATGACATAAAGATGTATGGTACATCCATAAAACATGCCATTGTTATCAAAAAAGTCTGATGGCAGCATTATGTAAAGAAAGGCTAGCTTTAATCCTGCATAATGATATGATTGGTTAGACTTTTCCATACAGTTTTTACTAGACAGATACTTAGAGCCCAACAAGAGCTTAAAATGATGGAGTGGTATGAATCAGTTCAGTGACAAAATCAGTTTCTTGCTTGTATTAACTCTCGACCTAATAACTACGCTGCATGAACAGGGCTCGCCAAAGTAGATGACATTTATTCACTGTCACTTAAAGTGTAAGATATAGATTTAGAGTAGTGGTGCTGGTGCTCTAAGCAGTAGCTTTAAATTGTTCTCGATTACATCAACTTCTGTTTATTGCTAAGTGAACATAAGAATCAAGTCTTTGGCGCCCATGGTCGGACATTAGGGTGAAGGATGAGCCTCTCTTAGAGCCAGCTTTATCCCAATTCTGAATGTTTTGATTTATTAAACTGTCTGATAACACAAAATATAGTTCAATATAATAGTTTAACAGCAGGAGGGTCTTTTTTGTTAGAATTTGCCTTGGTGGTGTGATTGATAAATATCATAGACATGCATTTCATTCCTCAGTGCATTGCATTTCTCAACGAGTCTTCTGCTGATGTTTCGCATCAACAACACCTCATGCCTTAATGTACAGTGTAGTGTATGGTATCGAATGTAAAGTAGTGTTACTGTGGTTACTAGTTTGTTTGCTCTATGTTCAGTTACCATGGTGCTCTCTAGGTTGTGTGTGCGTGTGTGTGTACCTGTAAATGTACATAATCCATAATTTGGATGTAAAGCGATCGACTTGTGATCGATTCCGTGAGTGAGCTTCAGTTTGAACACTGCAGAGGGTTTAAGTCCTTTTAAAGCCGTAAACACAAAACTAATTAAGGACTATCAAGGCCACACTAGACTAACATAATGACAAATCATCAATTTGTGACATTAACCATGTAATGAATGCAGGGATTTCAAATCTGTTCTATTGTTTTAAAAATCGCTTTATGCTAACAATCTCCAGTTTTGGAGTCTGCATAGTTACAAAATGCGGAGACAGCGTGGCCATCAGGAGTAAGACTGTAACTCAAACATGTAAATAGAAATTGTGTGATGACTTGCAATTCAAACTTGGCATAGCAATTGATACAAGCTATTGCATAGTTTAACATATGTAATGTTTTTGTACTATGCATACTGAAATGTCTGACTTTGAAATTACAAACTTGCACTGCTTTGTAGCACCAGGTTCTATTCAAACTGCATTAGATGGTATAGCAACATCATTATTAGATATGTAGACAACATCAGGTAAAAAAACTATAAATAAATAAACAAATAAAAAAAAATTAGATCATAAATTACAAACAAGTTGTCACTGGGGCCCTTTTCCATATGTTTGGGTGCTAATTTCACCGCTGCAGAGAAGCACAAACCAAAGGGAGCTTTAGCAGCACCAGGAATATATTATATATGCTGCACAATCACTACTGCATAGTTTAAGAGGCCTTGTTCTGAAATGGTTGAAGATTAAATAAATAAATCAATAAAAAAAAAACATTAAATGACAAGAAAAAAACTTGAATGTTTTCTCAGTGTTCAAAGCCTGGGTGACGTTTTCCTTAGTCATCAGGTATTTTTGTTCTCAAGAGCTGTTTTTATTGTTTAGGAGCTGTAAATCTGAAATTCTGTAGCATGTGTTCTTGAAAATGTGTAAATAATATTTACTAAATAAAAAAGGAAGCAACGTGAGCAGTTTCAGAGCCCTTTTTAGTCATGTCATATGACACTTGTGCAGACTCACGGGTCGGCAGAGGTCGGCAGGCTCGTGCACAGCGCGGAGGAGGCGGCAACAGCTGCGCGTGACCCAGAAGAAGAAACCTGCAGCAAAACACAAGTGGTCAGCTTCTGTGACATGGTAATGTTCATCACAAATAAATAGTTAAACTGCAGTTTATATATAGTGACATTTCATGCCTGCTCTTTGTCTGAACTAATACTTTAAACTGTACCGTCTGTGTCGACGTGTAAATGATACACTGTTTAAAAATATAACACAGCTAAAAAAAAGTGCAAGCTAACTTTAAGCTAATGTTAGTATAATGCTAACTTGCTCTTGAGATTTTCTACAAGAGTCAAGAAAGACTCACTCTGAGTACAGGCAAGTTAGTTATGAGAACATAACTTGAAGTACAGACACGACAGGGTGTGTGTCTGTCTCTCCACTGACAGGATGTAACTTAAGTTAGCCACATGTCACTATTTACTTTCCTGTTAAATATGGAAATGCACTAGCAGCATGTAGCCTGATACATTTTTTGCAGTGTGTAGTGTCCTTTTTAGTTGAAGCAGAATTAACTCACATTTAAATGCTGTAATTTAACTGTGACATTGAGCAAATAAGACCAATGTTTAAGTAAACCAGGAGACTTCTTCTTATATGCAGCACTGCTGCTGATGTGTCATGTTGTCAAGCAGGTTTAGGCAGGATACAAATGAGCTTTGACAGGCGAAGACTGCACAGCAGGTGAAATAGAGTTTATTTAATTCAGATAGACATTTTAAGTCATGTTTGAGGAAGAATGACTAATATATTCTAGTTCCAGTGTGTCAGATTTTAAGGATCCCTACTCTTCTTTGTCTTATTATTGGTATTAAACACAATATTGTTGGATTTGGAAATGTTATTCAGACTAAAAACCATTTTAAAGAAAGCTTAATTTGCTTTTGGAGCTTTCATCTGGCATTTTAAACTATTTTGACCTTTTATACACCTTTTATTAGTCATTTAATCAAATTAATTCAGCAGATTGTCAGAAGTGGACATAATTATAGCTGCAAGCTGACATTAAAGTTGTAGGTAAGACGTACCTCAGTTACAGTTACTTTCTGTCACTAGCAAATAGCTGTTGGACTCACCAGAGGATCCATGATAAGATATTATCACAATACTTAAGTCAAGATACAACATTTTTGTGATTTTAAATATGTTGCGATATGCAAGTCCTGCAATACAATATATTGCAATTTATTACCTATTTTTCAACTGTAATGCCCCCAGAGAAAAATTTTGTCAGCATCTGTTTTATCTAATAAGATAAAGTTTTCAGTGTGTTCATCTCACTTCAGCTATTTTTTACAGCAGCAAAATGGGTTTATTGGACTGAAAAAGCAACTGATTATATTATTCTAGAGGGCGACCTAAAGTTTCATTTGTATTTGTAATATTGCTAATTTATATATGAAAAAAATCAATACTTGGCACTGTGATAATACGATATTGCCACACAAAAACAATGCAATTCTATGCTGTATGGATTTTTTCCTCTACTCCTACTGACAATCACAATTTTTAGTCACTGTTTTACAATGCTTTAACACCTGAAAAAATTTGACGTTGTTGCATTATAGTTTTGGTTCGGTTCCTGTTCTCACTGACTTTTTGCAAACGAACCAAGAGCAGTAAACTTCAAGTTCTACCAGCTGACAGGTAACTTGTTGATTACACAATTTTGGCGTTTGTCCTCCAGCATCATCAGTGCATCATCAGGACCCATGTGGGAAAGTTTCTGGTGACTGACAGAAGTTTATGCAGCACTTTAGTGCTTTGAAAGCACTTATATTTGTGTTCTTTGGTGTCACAAAGAGCTCATGGAGAAATAACAGATTGTAAGCATTATTAATAGGCTATTATTAGACTGCAAATCAATCACATGTTGTGAATAATGACTAACAGAGACAGAATGAAAAGAAGGCATCTTGTACAGTAATGATTCACTGTCACTATTTTCAATCGACTTAATGAACTGATAAAGTACATGGTATTGGATACAATCATGGCAGTTTTAACAGCTTTTAAATCAGGGGAAAACCCCCCACTGATGTGCATGTGTTACCATGGTTACATGTATGCATTGACATAAATAGGTTATGAGATATACATGGCCTGTATCAGGATCAAGTACGAGATCGCGGACAGATTTCGCGATCAGCAGATGGATTTATTATTGGTTTAGGTGCTGAAATCATGCTGCTATCATATCGTATCTTCTATCATAAAATTCTGAGGTTGATTTGTTTCACACCACAAACAAACTGCACCAGAGTCTGTTTGTAAGCAGACTGAGACCCACTTTTTCGAGTGGTCTCGGATCAGTTGTTTGCTCTGCACCAAGGACAGGCCTCCATTGACCTTTACTTTCAGGACATAATTCAGTGTTTGAGTCAGATTCAGTGGTGTAGTGGAAGGTATACACAAGTATAGCCACCTCTGTTTCTGGCTGTTTCAGCCATAAAGCCATTGGAATATACAGGAGAGTATTCCCACCCTCTCCTTGGCAACCTGCCCATCTACCTAGTTGTACAGCCACCTCATCGACTACCACTACACCACTGCTCACATTATATTGCTTCATAAAACAGCAATACTACTTGAATCTAACAGATTTAAACAAAAACAAAACAATTCATTTGTCTGGTTAAAATGATTACTCCTTGACTTACTGAACACTGCTGTTCTGCAGGCTGTGCCGGCACTGTTTCTGGTGTTATGTGCCTGTGTTTGGGGGTTCTGTCATGTGGAAGCAACACCAGACACCCTGAGCTCTCTGGATTCTTCTTTCTGCCAGTAAGTAGCCCATAATGCTTCAGAGCTGTGATTGGGATTTTACTATATTTCTTATCCCTCTAGACCACTCTTTCCTGGGTGATAATGTATGAACAGATGAACCATGCATTTTTGTATCTGCAAGGCTCCAGACCACGGCCAATTAGTTGCATTTAGCGACCATGGAGCACCAGTGCAACTTGCAAATATTAATATATGAACTGGAGAGCTGTCAGTGCGATTCCTGCTCACAGTGAATACATCCTCATGTTTAATGGCTCCACTGTAACGGTTCAACTCTCTGCTACAATAACTGCTTAAATCACAGTATTGACCAGTACCTTCAAGTTCACAGCAAAAACATCAACACTCCCAGCACCTCGACGAGCTGGGTGCTTCAGTCTGTCCACTTTGATTTATTTCATTATAACAATACTTTTTTTTTTTTTTTTTTTTTTTACTTTATTATAACAGTAGGTTGTTTAGCAGTGTAGCATTTCAGTAGTCTACAGTAGTTTAGAGGAGATCTTAAAATATCGAGATACATATCCTATAGTGCAGTGTTGCCTAAAAATATTGCAGTATCATCAGTAGTTCATATCGCCCAGCCCTTTACCCTGGTAAAATTGGCATACCAATTAACATTTGCTTGTTTACAATATTGAAAAAAAAAATGCAACTAGACAGAGAATCTCACCTGCGTGTGCGCATCTCCTTTCCGCCTCAACTGCCTGTCGGACTTTTTACACATACTTCTATTAAAAAAAGTTTTCTAGTTACAATAAAGCATTTGTTCAACCAACAAAACTGTTTTATTCCCTTATGGGTCATCCATTCATTCATTCATTCATTCATTTTGCATAACCGGGTCACGGAGGGAGCTGGAGCCTATCCCAGCTGACATTGGGTGAGAGGCAGGGTACACCCTGGACAGGTCGCCAGACTATCACAGGGCTGACGCATAGAGACAGACAACCATTCACGCTCACATTCACACCTACGGCCAATTTAGAGTCACCAATTAACCTGCATGTCTTTGGACTGTGGGAGGAAGCTGGAGTACCTACCTAACTGTTAATATCACTGAGACACTGTGATAGTTTTTGATACCATTGCAAACCTAACTGATCAAAGTATAGTTGCAATGACAGGTAAACCATACATAAAGAACACGGCAGAGACAGAAGGATCTGAACTGAAGCTTTATTTGCTCAAACAGTGGTGTACTTATGTACCTGTTTAAAAAAAGTTGGCTATGTTTATCTCAGGGTTTACCTTGCCCACAGTTCAGAATGTACTACTGAATGGTGAATGACTGTCATCTTTCTTTCTCTCTTCAATAAAGTGGCGATTTAGAGGTAATCTATCCACAACTAGTCATCGACAAATGCCTCATAATTCCGGAGGACGGGAAGCTCAGAGAAAAGGTCAGCACAGTTTGGAAAGCACCGCAGATTTACTTTCCTGGAGCACACAAGGTAAGAGATGTATGTATGTGTGTCAGTGTTTTTTACGACATTTGTTGTTTGGGGGGTTGTTAGAGTAAGTAGATCGCTCTTGTCAGCTGGTATTTATGTGTATATGTAACTGGTGGACTCTAGTGATGTCTGCGTTGTGTTGATATTAAGAGGCCCAGACCGTGGATATCTTCGGAGTCGATCTCCGCTTATTCCTGACAGCAAGTGGCAAAAGCAAAATCCTCCTCCGTCAAACACAACCATATAAACTCAAACCACTCTCCCACGGAGCACAACAGCAAAATGGGCACCACGTTACTTTCAATTAAGCACAATAAAACACAGAAAACATACCTGACAGCAAGAGGTAAAAACAAAGTCCTCCGCTGAATACAACCATATAAACTTGAGCCCCTACACAAATTATGCAACACAAGATTATGTTAGCATAAAATTAACTTATAAACATATCTTAACAGCTCTAAAACACAGAAATTACCATAAGAGCAATGTCGCTTACCTCTCCCACAGAGCACAACAGCAAAATGGGAGAAGTAAGGGGGGAGACACCCCTTTATAGGTGGAGTACCCCCAAAGGTGAACATAGTGCTACAGAAACTGAGTATCAAACCTTCCACATGCTGACTATGGAGGCCTACAAATGTACATTTGACTTTGTTACACATATT